CAGCCGGGCCCGCCCCCGTTCCCATGGCAGCGGCCGGGCCTCGAGCGCGGCCTGCCCCGGGAGCATGGAGGACGAGGAGCCGGAGGGGGAGGAGGAGAAGGAAGAGGGGGAGGAGAAGGAGGAGGATGAGGAGAAAGAAGAAGAGGTGAGGGGGAGGCTCTCAGCACGGCCCGGCTGTGGTTGGGCCAGCGCTGGCGTCGTGCTCTCTCCTTCTCTCCCAGGAGCCGGCTCCCTGTCCCCTGACGGAGGAAATCCTCAAGGAGGGCCTCTCTCTCCTCACTAAGACCGGCAACGGGCTGGCTCTCGCCTATGTGAAGTTTGAAGCCAAAGACAAGTGAGTGTGCAATGCCTGACCCGGCAGAAGCCCCTTTCTCCATGGTCAGGGAGCCGCTGTGCTGCAAGCTGGTGAGTGGCCATGTGGGGTAGGAGCGTGTCCAGGCCCTGCTCTCTCTCCAGCCATCTGCATTCCAGTCTGTGCCTGTCCATCCTCAGCCCTGGCCTGGGCACTGCCTCCACCACAGCCACACACACCACTGTGTCCCCCAAGACACACATCAGTGTCCCCCAAGGCTGACGGCAGCCTGCCCATCACTCTGGACTGTGCTCTCCTAGGGGAAGCTGAACAGTGACCTCCCTACAGGCACTTTGAGAAATATCCATTGACATCTGTCCTCCTAATTGCTAACCTTTAAGGCAGGCAGCTGTAAGTACTGTGCCACAATGGCCTTGGGACAGTTTGGAGCCTCAGCCTCCCCAGCACACCCACGTAGCTAACTAAAGGGCCCATTAAGATTGTTTCTTTGATAGGGTATCTCAACCACTGTTTTTTCCACTAGGAAAGTCCTTTGACACAGTCCTTTGGGTTGACACTATTGTCTGACAGACCCCAGAACTTACTCTTTTCTCTGCTCTGGCTGTTCCCTATCCTGACAGATACAATTCAATGGGAATAAGCAGTCCCTCCGCCAGGAAAGCAGGTCCAATCTTACCATTCATCTTTGCTTACAGGCCTGTCCCTATCACCTGCCTTTTTCTTCTCTCAGCAAGGCTTTCTGGGACAGCAGGGAAGTAGGAGAGAAGGTTGCCTTCCCTCCAGCAGTGGCAAGAAGCAACCCAAAAGATGGTAGTGGGGAAATATGAGAGCTATTTTATTCACATTCACCCTCCCTCAGGGGCCTGACAGACATCAGCCTCCTCGAACGCTTCATTCACCTGCGGTATGTGGATTTGTCAAAGAACAAGCTGAAAGATTTGGCCCCGCTGAGCAGCCTAACCCAGCTGCTTTGGCTGAAGGTGGATGGGAATCTGCTCACCAGTGCCAGCATGCAGGAGCTGCCCTACCTCCAAGTCATCAGCTTTGATCACAACCACATCATGGATTTTGAGGGCATTACTCACCCCCTCCTAGCCAACCTCAGCCTGAAAGGTGATACAGACCACCTCTCTTTGTTCTTGTGGGGACACTTTCTTGGAATGGTGGGATTAACTTCCTTGTTTCTTCTTCCTCTGGCACCCAGAAAATAAAATCCAGAAAGCGCTGGGCCTGAGTCATGACCAGTTGTTCAGCCTGCAAGTCCTGGAGCTGCGAGGAAACAAGCTAGAGACCACAGCAGGGCTGGGTGTTTCCAAGCTCAAGAAGCTCTATCTGGTAAGGGATCAGCCAGCCTGGGGAGTGGGACAGAGCTGCTGCAGAGCCTGGCACCTGCAGCCCAGATAGCTCAAAGGGAGTGGCCACAAATCATAGAGGAGTCGGTGTTCAGTGCATCTTCCCTTACAGGAAAGGTTCTTCCCTCACAGCCTCCTGCAGGAAGGCAGTTTTCCCTTCAGGCAGTGTTGGGTAGGCTTGTATTCCATGTGCCCTGGGACCACTGGAGATCACTGGGCAAAGCAACAGCTTTGCTCTTCGGGTGACAAAGGGAGACGATGCTTTTCTGCTCTCTGATGGGCCTAATCAAGTACTGGTTTAAAGCCAGCACAATTATGTGATTCACACCTACAGCTGCCAAAAAAGAAATTGATTCAATATTGCAGTGAAACTAAGATAGGAGAAGCTGTTTCTTAATGTCATAAACAATTACTTCAAGGAAGCATTTACTCCTAGAGATGTGAGTGAAGAGAGGATGTATGGCTTAGCCCCATGCATCACACTGTGCTACAGCTTGCAAAGATTAAACAGATGTCCTGAGTCACTACCTCTTGAAAAGCAATTAAATATGATAAAGACTTTGAAAAACTATGTGGCTTCTATTCATCAAGATTCCCTGGCAGAAAACACTGAGGAGATGGCTTGCTGAGATTGCCTGCAATTTTCTGATGGAAAACTGGGATTTTATGACTGGAAGTGCTTCAAGAGTGGATGAAGTGGATAAGTCACTAGATACAATACAGCATTTCAAAGCATACCCAGTCACCTTAGTGAGTTATTGCAGGGAAGCAAACAGAGCATGTCTACTAAGGAAAGGCTCCTGGCATGACTGAGGGGTTTCTGAGCTGCCCATGTGAAACAGGAAAATGGCAAGGGATGAGTGTTGAAACTAGAACAACTGACTCTCAAGAATCTTTGGGGCTTGAATTTGTCTCCCATGTCTACCTGGTCATTAAATCATTTTGCAGGGAAATCTCCCCCAGTAGTGCTTTCCTCTCTGCGGAAAGACTTTGGTGTTAATTCAGCCTTGGGTAAGTGCAGCTGATGCCTCAAGGACAGGGCTCAATTTAAGGAATTGAACCACTTTTGGTTAAGGTATGACATAGCTGCAGATGAAATTTAGCATGTAAAAATTGGTATGTACTAGGAAGACTACAAGCTGGCTGTGTACCATGTGGCACTTGCATAATTTTTGAGGGTCACAGTAGGGCTGTGTTAGCTCCTGGTCATGGTACAGCAGTGGTGGAAAAGGCTAACCTGAGAAAGGTGGACTGTGCAGGAAGGGGAGAGGAGATCATGGGCAAGGTATGGTAACTTGCAATAAAAAACAGTGGCATCACATCTGGGTGAAGAACTGATATCTAAGGGAAGGTACGGTGTCAGACAGAATGTTGTTTGATTTATGGGAAAAAAAATTAAACAACTCTGAGAAATACCCATTCTGCATTGTCCTGCTAGTGCTTGCAAGGCCAGAGCTGGTAAAACAAGTCACACTGAAGTAATGAAGAAAGTGAGAGTGATGGGAGGTTATTATTCCTTTTATAAACCAGTGATCAATGAGCTCCCCACCCATGCCAGCTCACAATTTTCTCTGAGGTACAATGTCCTAATCCTTCCTGACTGTTAAATCTGCTCACATGGCCTTCACTAAATATCCAGCTTTCCTCTTTTTGCCATGGTGTTACTCCTTTTACTTGGCCCAGCTGCTCCAGATTCTCCTTTGTCCAGTTTCTATTAAAATCCTCCTTTTCTACAAAATGCCTTTATCCTGAATCACTCAGCCCTAAAATGTTCTCCTATCCCACCAGTTCAGCCTGTGCCCCTTTTTTAGTCTCAGGTATTGCCCACGTCATTGCTTGGGTACCTACAAGGAAGAGAGAGCACAACAGCACCTCTCACGCCATTTTTCATTCAGGTCTCAGCACCCTTAGCGACTGCAGACACATTGGCAAGGAAAGCCCTGCTCAGCTCCAGGCTGGAGAACGTGGTGGGGAGACGATAATTACCTGGGATGCTCCAAACTTGGCCGTGCAGGGCGGTGACCAGCCTGACAGAGCAGAGCGTAGGTGCTGGCACTGCGGGGAGTATCCGCTCGGACAGGAGACCTCTAGTGGTCTTTTCCAGCCGAAATCCTGCTGTGAAACGAGTCCTGAAATTCAGAGCTTCCATATTCCCCTGCTTTGTTAACCCACATACCAGGGAAGTGAATGAAATTCAGTGATGGGGAATTTTAAACTTCCTTAAGTAAGACACAGCCCAGAGGAGTAGAAGTTCTTGGTCGTAGGTTTCCCCACAAGAGAAGCAGCTACTGGAAGGTGCCTGGACTTAAATGTACTGTGTGACTAAGAGAGGCTGCTACTCATCCCTTAAACACATTAATTTTAGGCTCAGGTGTGCTTTCCCCTCCATGCTGTTGCTCTCTGAGGCTCAGATTTGGCACTGCCATGGAAAGGAGTGCTGTGCTGGCAGTGGAGTATTCACCTGGGGTGGTTTTGTCTCAAACACCAAGTGATGCTCCAGGAAACACTTTTTCAGCAAACTTTTGGTCCTTGAATCTGAATCCTGAGAACCCACTTGGCCAAGACCCTGAATTACCTGACTGAGCTTCAGACAAGGATGTGTTATGAGTGGTAGGGAGTCTGAAGGATAGAAAGAGGTTTAAAAGCCAGAAATAACTGCTGTTCCCTCCCCTGTGTGTCCCCATTTTCCTTCTCTCTTTCTGCCTCCCTGGTGCTCAGGCCAAGAACACCATTTGCAGCCTTGAAGGCCTTGAGGAGTTCAAGCAGCTGGAGACTCTGCACCTGCGTGACAACAAGCTTGAGGCCCTGGATGGATTCTCTGACAGCATGAAGTGCCTGCAGTACCTCAACCTACGGTGGGTCCTCCCTGCTCTGTGTTGGGAGCAGAGATCCCTTCTTCAGACTGCACTCCCATTTAGATCTTTAGGATTTTCTGGGTTGGTTTTTTTTTTTTTGGAAGTTGAAGATCTGGTAGGGATGGGTTGATATCTACCATCCTTAACTGGTGTTCAGCAGCTGTCTAGGCATTGTAACAGCCAGGGCCTTTCCTGGGCTTCTTACAAAATATCAGCCTGTCCAGTCATTCTCATACCCCATCTCAGGCTTTTCATTCCTTGCCTTAAGCCAGTTGGGTCCTTCAAAGTGTGTTCTCTGTGCTCTGCCTGAAAATTCCCTTTAGTTCTCAGTGTTTGCCATGCAGGGCCGTGGTGATGTCACACGGTTCAATGGACTGAGCACAGGAATCCAGAGGAGATGTCCTTTTTGTCTCTCAGTCCGGGGAGCTGCAGATCTGGATCTTAGGTGACAGATCTGTGGTCTAAGGTCTAAGGTCCCTGATGCCGTTAAGATTTGCTTTTTCTATCTTGTCCACTTACTGTTCCAAAGGGATTTCACTACGTGCATGGGTCTCCTTCCCCTGCTCTCTGTGCTTCCTTTTCTTCAGGAGCAATGGGATCAAAAGCTTTCAGGAGGTGGAAAAACTGCAGGTTCTCCCCATGCTGCAGGCACTGGTGCTGATGGACAATCCGTGCACCGAAGAGCCCAATTACCGGCTGGAGGTCCTGTCCCGGCTGCCACAGCTGCAACGCCTCGACAAGGAATCAGTTGAGAAAGAGGAGCGGGAAGAGGCAGAGAAAATCCGTCAGACAAGGAAGCAAACAGAAATGGTGAGAACAACACAGTGCAGGGATTAGAAGGAGGTGAAGAGAAAGAAAAAGGACCAAGCATGCTGATAAAGCCTCTCCTCCACTATATTACATGAAGAGAAGGGTGGGGGGATGTCAGTCACAGGAGCACGAAAGCCTGAAAAAGAGGCCAGGCTTTGCAAGCTGGTTATGGTGGCCATCATGCAACCCTGCTGCCATTCCTGACCCCACTAGCAAAAGAGGGCAGTGAAAGGGGAAGAGACATTGGGCATGGGGTCATTAATTTCTCCCTCCTCCCTTTTTCAGGAAATGGAAGCACCTCTTGAGGATACAGTGACTGAGTGACCTGTTTTTAACACCTGTTCCCAGAGGCTGTCAAGATGTAGTGATGCCTTTCCCCATATGTGAGGCTGGGAAAGTGAGAGCTTTAGGTACCAGCTTCACCTCATTTTACCTCTGGAGCAAAGAGGAGTGCTATTCACCCTGGTCCTAGACGCTGCCCTGAGGCACTGCAGTGTTTTTGCAGTCACTGCACTATGTTCTATTCTCAGTAGGCCTGAGAGGGGAAAGGGGAGAGTTACAGGTTCTGTGGTTCGATTTGATTCCCAAAAACTCTGCAAGGTTTTCTGATTTGAATAAAAATAATTAATGAGCCTGGAGTGACTGGGATTGTTTATCCTGCACACCCACTCCTATTCTCTGGCTCTCTCACCCTCATCTGTCTACGTCTATCCCTTGCTGCCTGCCTCTCTGTCTCTCCATCCCCTACGTGCTGTTTGCAAAGCTTTGCTAAATCCTGACTCATCGCAGCTCTGGGTCACATGCTGCTGTCCCGGCCCTATCAGGGGCGTCTCCATCCTGCTGCCGCCGCCACCGTTGGCTTAGAGGACACATCATCTCCCCTTGAGGTCCTGCATCCCTCCTCAGCTTCGTCCTCTCTCCTTTCTACCAGCACTTTCTCAATCTCTCGTCCACCCCTGCCCTAGGAAGGTAAGTGTCTCCCCACGGCCAGCGCACCCCCCACTACGTGCATGTTTCTGCTGCCCACCTTGTGCCCTCCAAGCGCCACACGCACTTTGGGGTCCCTGCAGAGAAGGACCACGGTGAGCGGCATTAACAACTCGGCTCCCCTCACTTCCTCCCCCTGCTCCTCCCACCTCTCTCTCCTCACCCCCATCCTTGTGAGTTTTCTTTCATATTTTAATTTCAGGTACTCCCTCCTTCCCGAGCCCCCTCCTTTCCCCTCCCGGCAATCATCATTTCAGACGTGAACCCAGGGAATTGCAGGAGGGGGGGCAACCGACGAGGATAGGTGTTGCTCCCAAGGGCACTGTCGGGAGGTGCTGCGGGATGGAGCTTTCCCCGGGGGAGGGGGTGGTAGTGGGGAGAAGGCAAGGCTCAGTCTGGGGAAAGGATCCAGCCTCAGAGCGGACCAGCCCCCCCAGTCTCCCGAGGTGTTGACATAAACACGGGTGCTCAGGGAGAGGGAGGGAGAAGAGGGGATGTTTTCCTATTTGCACAGCCCCACACCACAGGGGAGGGGGAGAGCACGGAGAGGAGGTGACAGGCAGGCAGGCAGGCAGTAGCTGCATCAGTCACGACACTGCAGCAGTGCGGGCTTCCTGGGAGCAGTGCCCAGCCCGGGGGAATCGCGGTAGCACACGGGACTGGTGGCGGTGCCCTGGGGGAAAGGTCTCCGCCGTGCTGGCCTGGCAGGGACAGGGAATTGCTGCCAGCGCCAGCTCCACGGGAAAGCATTGCAGCAGCACCAGCCTCCCAGCGTACGCTGCCCTGCCCCTGTTCACGGGGGCTGCACAGCCTCCTGTCCCTTTCTGGATGTGGTCTGTGGCTTCCCAGCTATGGCTCCATCCCAATCCCTTATCCCAGCTTATCCGCCTCTGACCTCCTTTCAGGACAGTGCAGCTGATACCAGGGATTTCAGGGTGGTTCTGTATAAAAGAGAACAAACGCAGGGGATGTGGGGCAGCAACACAAGTGGAGAAAAGGTTTTAAAGGACTACAAGGGAGAGAAGATCATGTAAGTGATGGGGTGGGGCAGGCAAGGCTGGATTTGGGCTTGTCATTTGGCTTCCTTGGATCTGGCTCCAAGAGGGGCAGGTGGATGTGACCACAGGGATGTGACCAGGGGCAACATGACCAGATAAGCAGAGAGGCGCAGCATCTGGCACGGGTGTGCTGTCAAAGATGACTTTAAGCGGGGTCCTGTCCGTCTGTACCCCGTGGAGGCTGTTGAGGCACGGCCAGGACACTGCTGCAAAGGAAGCTCGCGGCTGGCTGCGCCGGCACGACTCTGGAGGAAGTTCCTGTGGTGTGTGCCAGATGGCGTGAGGAGCTCTGCCAAAGCGGCTGATGGGGGATCCCAGCCCAGATGGACATGGTGGAGGGCCCTGTGCAGGCTCCAGAGAACCCTGGAGTTGCTGACTGAAACTCCCCACACAAGAAGCTCTGGCTGAAACTTCAGAGCAGCAGCACCATTTCCTCACACCCTTGTGATTTCCACCCACCCGGAGCAGTGCCGTCGAGCGCTGACTCCGGCTTCCCCATCCTGCTTCTCAGCTCCCCTCGGTGCTGTGATGTGCTGTTCAAGCTCATTTTCCCCTGCCCCGGTGCTGAGGCCCTGTGCTGGCCGTGCCCCTGCTCACGCACACCATGGGGAGGTCCTGGCTCCCTTTGGCTACTCTGCCCTCTGCCAGCCCTGCTCAGGAATGAGGGAATCATCTGTGGGAGCCAGGGGAGGAAAACCTGGCAGTGCTGGGAGCATGGGGGGACGCAACCCTTATTGCAGCACCCTGGCACTGCACAGCCCCACAGCCAGGGGGATGAGAAGGTGCCATGAGGGGAATGAGTTGATTTGGAACCCCCAGAGAGCAAACTGCAGCAAGAGGAGCTCTTTCAAACAGCCATCATAATCCACCAGCATGTTTTCTACTTCAGCTTTAACCACATGCTCCAAAATGCTAGGCTTCCTCACCCCCCCTCACCCAACAGAGATCCAGCCCAGCCTCATCTGCTTCCCTGCCTCAGGAGTGGATCAAAAGGTTGGCAGCTGGGCCAGGCCCCCCTCCCTTCAGAGCCCTCTTTGCCACGTCTGAGGCACCGAGGCCTTCAGCAAGATGGCTCCTCAGGCTGCCAGGCTCGGCGCTCCCGCCGCCTTGGCACAGCCTGACCCCGCAGCCCACGGGGGACACAGGGAGGCTGAGCAGGCGCTCGGCAGGAGGGACATGGCTGGGGTCTGGGACAGCCAGGCTGGGATGGCTCCCCCACCGTGGGCTGGAGAGGGGCTGGGGGTCCCCCGTGGCTGGCTGCCCCCTGCCCTGCCCATCACGCTCGGCTGGCTCCCTGTTCACTGCACAGGGACACGGCGGCCGCTTGCTGTCTGGCCTGGCAGGCACCGTCCTCGCCTCCCGGCAAGGGGACAGGAGATGCCAGGAGCTGCTGCCCCGTCCTTGACACCAGAGCCAGGGGCACCTCCCTGCTGTGCCAGCTGATCCCTCCCTCTCTGCCGCCCGTGGTATCCTCCCCATCCCTGCCATTCAGGCTTGTATCGGGCACTGTGCTGTGACGCAGGGAGAGAGGCAGAGTGCGCCCAGTTTGTCAGCTGCAGCAGAGGGGCAGAGTAAATTCAAATAATAGCGTATTTATTCAAATAAATAGGAAAAATGTTCATAGATTCCTGTAGTCTGGGTGAATTTCTAAATTTCCTGGGGCAAATAGTTTTAGCTCAAATTTCTAAGGTCACTTTTCCTTGAATTCCCTTCTCTCTGTCAGTCTAGACACAGAAGGGGTGAGCACTGCATCCTGGAGCCTCTCAGAACTGAACATATCCTGTTCTCTCCTCTCCATAGACTCACCATGGCAGTCGAAAGGATCCATGCCCGTGAGATCCTGGACTCCCGTGGGAACCCCACTGTCGAGGTGGACCTCTACACACACAAAGGTATGTGGGTGATGACAGGAGATGGAGGGCAAGCCCTGCCCACCCTGACAGAGTTGGTGCTGTACAGCAGCCTGGCATGCCAAGACCATGGAGGGTCCTCACTGGTGAACCCCCAGCAGACAACAAGACTGGGGAAGAGGCAGGGACAAAATTCTGCTCGTGTCTCTGCTTGTGCCTGTGCTCAGCAACTCTGCACACGTGCCGGGCAAATCACAACAAGACAGCTGGCTGTCCTGTGTGTGACTTGAGCCATGCTCGTAGCAGGGATGGAAGGTCTTTTTGTCATTAATGTCTGCACCTTCTTGTCATACCCCTGCTGCAGCTATGCTTTTAGTCCTGGGGCATAGTAGAAGTTTGGTGGCACATCCATGGCTGTGCTCATGGCAGGGGTAAAGCTTTGTTCCTGAGATCTCTGTGCAGCTGTGTCCATGCATGGGACTTCTCAGCTGGAAGAGCTACATTTGCACTGGGCCCAAAACTGCTTGGGCTGAGGGGTGAGGAGCAGTGAGAGGCCAGAGCAGACATGCAACCATTGTCTTCCTTCTTCAGTGAGGCAGAAACCTCAGTCTGAGGGGGAGGAAGCTGAGGATGGTTGTGAGTCAGGCTGCCTCTGGAGCTAGGAGGAGGGCTGAGGAACCAGGCTTCCACCCATCACACACAGTTCTAGGATCAGTGCCTGCCATCCAGGTTCCTCAGCCTGGAAGCCCTGGGTGCATATATTTCTGCTGCTGAGGTGCTCCACCTCTGAGAAGACCAGCCACGAGCAGCCAGCCAGTGCGGCCATCCATTTGCACAAGCAGTTGCTGCATCCTTTCCTGTGGGCAGAGCAGTGCTGAGGCAGGTGCATGAGGATTTTTCCTCTTCACCCTCTGCTTGTCTTACACCCCTGTTTTGCTGTTTCCCAGGCATGTTTCGAGCAGCTGTACCCAGCGGAGCGTCCACTGGTATCTACGAGGCTCTGGAGCTGCGAGACAATGACAAGTCACGTTTCCTTGGGAAAGGTGGGGAGATGCCTGCTCCACAGCTGGTCCTCAGGGCTGCCTGTGTGTGGGGCCCTGCTGGAGGGTGCTGCCCACCCACTGGTGTGACAGGAATTGTCCCAGTGCCCTCAGGGAGACCACAGAGGCACAGACCTAGCGTAAAGTGAAAGATCAGGCCTCGATCTTCCCTCGCTGTCTCCCTCTCTCAGTCTCTCTATCAGTCCTCTCCCTCCCTCTTTCCACTCTTCTCTCTGCCTCACTCTCTCTCTCTCTCTCTCTCTCTCTCTTTCTTTCTCTGCCTCTTCCCTTCTTTAGGGGTCCTGCAGGCCGTGGATCATATCAACAGCACTGTCGCCCCAGCTCTCGTGGGCTCTGTAAGGATTTCTCTTTGTTCTCCCCTGTCCAACGCTTACTCTGGTTCGTCTCTGTCCCCTGATCTCTGTCTCTGCCTCTCTTCATCTCACTGGGTTAACAGACACAGCAATGCTCTCTGTGAACCTGGGCACACCCCTCCCGCCCTCCATGCCTGTGTGTGTCCACAGCAATCTTTTCTCTGGGAGGAAAGGATTTAACTCTTCCTGATCCACCGCAGTATCTGTGCAGCCTAACTAGTCCCCTTGGTGCTCCCTGTAGAGCTCACCCCCTCTTCCAGCTGTGCTCCCCCTCAAGCACTGAATCACATCCACGTATCTGTGGCCTCATCCTGGTGTGATGAGCAATG